AACTCTTTTCATAATAATTAAAATTTGTTAAAAATTTTTTTTCAAAGTTCCAAATTGATGGAAACAAACTGAAATTTAGCTTATAACGAAATTTAGGTAAGTTAAAACTGCAGTTACTGACCTAAAATAACTCATACTGATACTAAAAATATAGGGTGCTTTGAAACAGAATACCATAAAGTTAGGAGCTGACAGAAAATCATAAAATAAAACCATTTCTTCTTTTGGACCATGTGTAATGTCTATTGAGATTCAAGGCAGCAAAGACTATTTTTTTTTTAATTAAAATTGCATATCTTTTTCAAAAAAACAGTATACTGCATTTAAATTTGGGGGTGTTCAATATATCAATATTGTTAAAGGCTTTTCTCAGCAACATTTTAGAATTTATCTGCTTTGAGGTTAGGTTTCTTGCGTTGCAATGGCACATACTATAATGCAAAATTTAATTTTACACAAAAAAAAGGTATCCTTGTTAATGCACTGTTTTGAGCAAAAAAATGTAACTGATCGCACCTCTATTGACTCTATACGTAATAAAGGGTGTTTCAAAAGTAATCTAAAATATGAAAGGAGCAGATTCCTCTATGAGAAAAATTCATATTAACATAAAACGCATTCCAAACTTACAGGAAGTTGCAAATAATTTTTTTCCGACATATCTAGTAACCGGGTTACTTTCCTTACCTCAGACTAGATATTATGTGGAACCGCCTAATTTTTAAAGAATTCGCATGTCACTAGATTGGTTTAATTGAGTAACACTGAAAGGATCGTACCAATCAAACTGCGAATTGAGCAGCTGTTTCGTGAACAATAACTTTACATTTAATGAATAGAAAATAAATTAAAAGCTCTGACACTAAATTGCATCTCTACAATATCATGTTAATAAAGCAATATTTAGGTGTAGAAGGTAATAAAATTAATTCAGTTTTCTCAGCTTTTCTTCATCAATTTCAGCAAAAGTGATGTTTGTATAAATGAAATTTTGTGTCATAATATGTTGCATACAAAAACAATAATAACCGCTTACTGCAATAATATCATTAACGACGACAAAGATGCTACTAATGAGTTGTCAGATTATACTGGTTGAAATATCTGAGGAATCGTATGTCCTTAACGATTGATTATATTCAGCATTCCTCAAATTGGAAAACAATTAATGTATAAAAGATCTTGACCAGATTGGTACTAGAAATTTATATGAAATCTGGTAAAACAATCTCTTTTACATTTTTTCTACCTGATATTTAATAAGTCAAATTCTGAAGGTACATTTCCGTGTATTTGGAAATAAACTAGAACTACTCCAATTCATAAAGGCAGAAGTAAAAGTGATATAAAAAATTATCATCCAATTTCTTTACTCTCGATACCAGGTAAATCGTTGAAAGCGATTATACTTGATGAACCATGAATTTGAACGATGTTATAATAGAAGAAGCATAGTTTTTCCAAGACCGTACTAAGAACATTGACAACTTTCAATGCAATACAATACATTGTTGTTTGAAAAAGGCATGACCAAAATTACATTAAAGCAAATATATATTTTTGATCCATACTACGAGGTTTGTCCGGAAAATACGTATAAAAGTGGAATAATAACTTTATTTTACAATAATTCGGGTATTTCAATATGGTCTCCTTCAAAGTACTCCCCCTGAGACAAGATGCACTTCTGCCAACGCCGTTTCCACTGTTGATAAGATCGCTGAAAGTCTTCAGTTGTGAGGCTCTTGAGTTGCCGTGTCGTTGCTGCCTTGATGGCTTCCACATTCCCCAAGTGCCGCCTCCGAAGCACCATTTTGCATTTTGGGAAAAGGAAGAAGTCGCAAGGGGCTAAATCGGGTGAATAAGGTGAATGTTCTGTCACGGTGATTGAGCTTCGGGCCAAAAAGTCACGCACAATGAGAGACGTGTGAGCAGGCGCGTTGTCGTGATGAAGGATCCACCTGCCCCCTTGTGCCAAATTCGGTCGAACTCGGGCCACACGAGCTCTGAGACGTCTCAAAACTTCAACGTAGAAATTTCCGGTCACTGCCTGGCCAGGAGGGACAAATTTCTGATGAAGAATGCCCCTAGAATCAAAGAAAACAATCAACATTGTTTTCACATTGGACCTTGATTTTCGCGACTTTTTTGTTCTTGGTTCCCCTGCTTGCTTCCACTCCTTGCTTTGAGATTTCAACTCCACATCGAATTCGTAGAACCAAGACTCGTCTCCAATGATAACCCAGTTGAGAAAGTCCTGCCTTTCCTCTGCTTCCAACCAATCCTCACAGCAAGCAACCCTCCTTGCTTTCTGTTCTGGAGTCAAGAGCTTCGGAACGATTTTTTCATTTTAAGTTTTTCAGTCAGAATTTCGTGGACGATTGTTTTGGGGATTGACAGATCCTCAGCTATCATTCTAATTGTCAATCGAAAGTCTTTAAGAACACAAACCCGAATTCGTTCAACATTTCCCTCAGAACTCGATGTGGAGGGGCGTCCTGAGCGAAGGTCATCTTTCGGGTCTTCTCGGCCTTCTGGGAACCTTTTTAACCACTTGTTGACGGTAGGTTCCTTCAGAGAATTGTCTCCGTAAACTTGTTTCAAACACTCAAAAATCTCACGACCATTCTTGCCTAACTTTGCAAGAAACTTGATGTTGATGCGCTGTTCCTCAATCAGAGAGAGCTCCATGCCGACGGCAGGTAAAAAAAGGGTTACTTTCAGTAAGCAGACGTAAACTCCTACTTACTCGCAGAACGCTCTGGCTCGAACTGAGCGTTGAGGGAATTGCATAACGAGGGGGGACCACCGGGCCACCCCTCCACAACGCCTTGACACGTCGCACAGTGGTCGGAAATCCGAAAAAGCTGGACAAAAGTCCAAAAAGACTTGCATCATCACCAAAAATGGGGACTCTATGTTTTTCAGGTCGCTAAAGCCGAATTTGCAGTCAAATCTCAAATTCAAGATGGCTGATACAAAATGGCCGATATATCACGTTAATTTATTGAATCTAATTGAAATTTCGAGTGCCTCTGGTATTGAGGTCGCGTAAAACGTATGTAAGGTCGAAGTTTGAGGTTTTTGAGGTAACTAATTATTATTAATAAAGTACGAAAGGTAAATATCTGCGATATAAGGCATGTATTTGGAATGAATTCGTCATTTCGAACGAAATAATTTCTAAACACTATTAAACCTCACTCTTGTTATAAAGCTTATTCTAATTATTTAGCTAATTCTAATACACATGAGTCTTTCGCATCGTCATCACCTGTCACATAACCGTCAGAGCATGAACATTTTATCCATAGCTTCGGTTGAAAAGCTTTTCTCATTTTCATCTATCTTGCACCTTTTTAAAAAAGGTTGATCTAAAATGATGATTTGCGTTTCTAAATTCTCTTGGAATTTTCCTTTCAAAAATCGAAAAATTTATTTTTTCATTCACGTAATTTTACTGGTGCCTGATCTTGTCGAAAATGATAAATTATGAATTGAAAGATCATAGATAATAAGTTCGTCTATAATTTTCTTCATTTTATTTTCGTATTCTTCTCAGCAAATCCTTTCATTTGATACTCATATCATGGGGTGCACAAAAAATAACTGGTCCGCCATCTTTGAGAGTCCGCCATATTGGATTTAAAATGACGTCACTTAGCTAACCATGCAATGTCATCCAAACTAAACGTGTATGCAAAATTTCAGCTCAATCGGTTGGGCAAACTGTTTCAAAATTCAGTTGCAAAATGTGACCCATACTAACAAGGCAAGTTAAATAAAAGCTTGTAAAAATATGATAAATGGCACACAAAAAAGGTGCATGTTCATAAAAAAAACAATTTGAATTAGAAACGCTCGTTTGGAACGCGAAGAGACACTAAAACGCTAGCTATTGTATAACGAAGGCCTCTTACAATAGTAAATCGACCGTACATGGAGGCACAAAAAATGATTCAGAACCCCAATCCGGAAAAATCCGGTGGTTTTCTCTTTTGATATATGAAATTGACACTCCTGTCCGCATTTTCCAACTTTCAATAGTGCAGGATCTCTTGGGATCACAACTATTCCGATAATTTACGATTGGTGTGATTTGAAATCGATGGAAATTGCAAGACGTTTTTGTTAAAACAATAAAAACATGCAACTTTCGAAAAATGAGGTTCTAAATGAGCAAAAGTATTCTACTTAACTCCAGGAACACCCTCTCTATTGCACACAACGATTCGTACTCTAGTAAAAATTTGCACGTATTTTCAATTCACCGCTTTTCGATGGGTCAGTGGCAAGTGAAATATGCTAATCTGTCGCAGCATACTTCCAATAGTTGCTGTGTTCTATACACATGGGCCAGCTCTCTGTCACTTTAAAGAACTACGCAATGACTCCTTCTCTAGCATATTCTGAAATATTAACGTAAACCAACGACTTTGAAATTTCGACTTTTGTCCAGCTTTTTCGGAATTCCGACCACTGTGCGTCGCCCCGAATTTTTTATACGTACTTTCCGGACAAACCTCGTATATTTGGTCTGTATCTCGCCAAAAGGGCCTTAATTTTTTTTAATGTTCTGCCAACATCTGTGTTTCAGGCAATTTTTTCTAAAACACTCTGTATAAATACAATCTGCCTTAAGATTTTGAAAATAACTAAACGGTGATGTGTACACAATACTACCCGCATATCTTGATTAATCACATGCTATACTAAACAATGCAGACTCCAACTAATTTAATAACTTCATGCGGTACATATCAACATAACAAACTCCAAAATTACACAGACCAAGAAAACAACCCAAAATAAAATGTTAATTTTTCGGTAGATGATGAAAGTGTTGGTAGTCGAAATAAAGATATAAACCTGAGTGGTGTCTTAATAAGTATATTCCTAGTTGAAAATTATGTAACTTATGAAGACCAATTGGAAAAAGTTGGTAAAGCATCCCCAATTGGCACCGGTTACTATTTGCTGAGATTTTCACTTAATTTCAGAGGGGGAAGATTCCTCTGCTCCTGGCAGTAGAGGCGGGCAACCAGTCTATGTGCAGGGAGCTGCTAAGTGCACAAACGGCGGAACAGTTGAAAGCACAATCCGCAAATGGCGACACGGCTCTGCATCTGGCGGTCAGAAGGAAGGACATCGATATGGTAAATTTGAATCAACTATCTTTTGATGTTTCTAAAAGCACTTAAGAAGGAAGTTATCACTTTTTTACTCCATTAATTATTTTTATGAGCAACTTTCTTGATTTTGCAATATTCAATTCCAAGGAAATCAGTTTCATTAAAGATTCTGTGTAAAAGTGATCATTTATACAGGGTGTTTCAGGATTAAGTCGACAAACTTTAAGGAGATATTCCTCCTAAAAAAATAAGAAAAAAATCAAGTATAATTTTTTTTCCAGAGACGCTTCATTTTTGGAAATATAGGTCGTTAAAGATTTAAAAAAAAATCGAATTTTTTAAATAACTTCTAAATGAAGAAGGCTATTTAAGCCAAATTTGGCATGACACATCTTATTATAAGATACCATTTTTCCATAAAAGTAGAAGTCCCGCAAGCAACCAGTGGCGAAGTTATGGGGACTCATTAAATTATAAAAAAAAATAATACGGGCCTACTGAAAATAAAAAATGATGCTGTTTTTAGATAGAACAGTTTGTTATTGACAAAAAGTGTACATTCACTTTTTTTCCTAACTCTTAAGTTTCATGGCAAAATTGATTTTTCGAAAGGGTGCTTCTGGATTCTGTTAATAAACTTTAAAATGAACCTCAACAAAAATTTTCGAGTAGGCTGCTGTCAAGCAATGTTAATTTGACGTTTTAAATGTTATTTTGCGAATTGTTGCATAAATTATCCATTAGATAAAGCGTTCAAACTAATAATAAAAATAAGTTTAATAATGCCGTCCATATTTTCGAACAATGAATATGCTGATATGGTCTTTGTATATGGTTTTTGTGATGGAAATGCCACGGCGGCTCGCCGTGAATATGCAGTAAGATTTCCTCATCGCAGACTACCAGCAAAGGAAACATTTTCAACGACATTCAGTCGTCTCAGACAAACTGGGTCTTTCGGTATTCCAACTTATGCTGATGGACATTTTGCCCCACTTCAGGACGAAGTAAGATCGAATACTATTTTAAACCATTTCGATGAAAATCCATCCACGAGTGTCAGAAGATCTAGCTATGAGCTAGGTATTTCGTCAAGTTCCATTTGGAGGACTCTTCGGGCTGATGGACGCCATGCGTACCATATCCAGCGTGTGCAACATTTACTGCCTCAGAACATACGATGTAGGCGCGTGTTTTGTGACTGGATGTTAAACCAAGCAAAGAATGATGCTCAGTTTACGCGAAAAGTAATGTGAACAGATGAGGCAACATTTACTCGAAGGAAAATTTTAAACCAAAGGAACAACCATATTTGGTCCTACGAGAATCCACGGGCAGTAAGGGAACATAGTTTTCAGCATGAATTCCAATGTAACGTATGATTGGATGTGTTGGACAACACCACTATCGTTGGTCCCTACTTCCTTCCGCATCGGTTAAATGCTGACATGTTTACCAAGTTCCTTGAAAATGGTTTTCAAGATCTGTTAGAATATAGCTTAATACTCGAATGAACACTTGGTTTCAACTAGATGGTTGTCTTGCCCATTTTGGTAGAGGTCCTAGGGACTGGTTAAACATTAATTATTCCGGGAGAAGGATTTGTCGTGGAGGACCTGCATCGTAGCCCGCACGTTCACCGGACTTGACACCGATGGATTATTTCGTTTGGGGTGCTGTTAAACAAAAAGTCTACGAGGTGCCAATTGATTCCCTAGCCCTAGAAGATCTCAGACAGCGAATAGTCCAAGCGTGTCGAGAATTAACTCCAATTCAGTGTCGATCGGCCACTACCTTCATAATTAGAAGATGTCGTGCTTGTCTACAGTCCGGAGGCGCCCATTTTGATCAAAATATTTTTGAAATCATTTCATTTTTGATTCACTTTTCGCTTTGTCTAGGTATAATATTAATTGGTAATATTTTGGTTGTTTCAATTTACAAATAAATTTTTATGTATTGTTTGCCATCTTATTTTATTTAAAAGTACACAACACAAGTAAATGAAGTGACTACAAACCGCCTTAAAAAATTTAGGAGTATTGCAAGGGTCGTTACGTTGTCGCATTACGACATAGTCACATTAGATGTTAGGTACTTAAATATTTCTATTGTTTTCATCATTTTTTTTCTAAAAAAACGCCCTATATCTCAAAAACGAAGCATCTCCTAAATAATTTTAATACTATTGGTTAAACCCAAGGGAAGGGGAGACAAAAAGGCTTATTTGACTCACACATATTCGAGACTAAGACCAATTTTAATAGGTACTATATTTTTTAGGTTTTATGAGGAACGTCTTCCTAAAGTTTATAGACAGAATCCAGAAGCACCCTTCCGAAAAATCAATTTTTCCATGAAACTATAAGAGTTAGGAAGAAAAGTGAATGTACACTTTTCGTCAATAACGAACTGTTCTATCTAAAAACAGCATCATTTTTTATTTTCAGTAGGGCCGTATTAATTTTTTTTATAATTTAATGAGTCTGAGTCCCCATAACTCCACCACTGGCTTGCGGGACTTCTACTTCTATGGAAAAATGGTATCTTATAAGATGTGTTATGCCACATTTGGCTTAAATATCCTTCTTCATTTAGGAGTTATTTAAAAAATTCGAATTTTTTAAAAAATCTTTAACGCCCCATATTTCGAAAATGAAGCGTTTCTGGAAAAAAATTATACTTGATTTTTTTCTTAATTTTTTATGAGGAATATCTCCTTAAAGTTTGTCGACTTAATCCTGAAAGACCCTGTACATATATTTTAATGCTGAGATAAACAAATAATACTACCTTTTTGTAGGTTAGAATTTTGGTGGATTATGGAACTAGTGTTGATATTCGGAATGGGGATGGACAAACTCCTCTCCATATTGCAGCTGCTGAAGGCGATGAGGTCTTGGTTAAGTATTTTTACGGAGTTAGAGCCTCCGCCAGCATCACTGACAACCAAGACAGAACGCCCATGCATTTGGGTAAAATACTGTTGTGCAGAATCTAAATTATCATTTCATGATTTTCTGTTTACAGCTGCTGAAAATGGTCACGCCAACATCATCGAACTACTGGCAGACAAGTTTAAGGCCAGCATATTCGAGAGGACCAAAGATGGATCCACTTTGATGCACATCGCCTCACTGAATGGTCACGCGGACTGCGCCATGATGCTCTTCAAGAAAGGGGTCTATCTTCACATGCCAAATAAAGTAGGAGAATCGTTATTATACCTTTTTAAATTTTATTCATTATTAAAGCATTATTATTTCTATACGTTCGAGTATCTTTTAACAAGTTTTATCCTTCTAGTTGGATATATTACTGCATGTAAATAAAAATTTAAATAACTTGATGAATATTTAAGTAGGAGGGTCTCAAAATACATTTATTACGCCCACTTCTGCATGTTTAACCAAATCCCAAGGACATATTCGACGTTTCCAAAAACAAAGAACTTATTTATTAATCCCAATTTACTTTTTCCACCGAATGTCGCTTTGAAATGCAAATTCGGTGCCCTGCTGTTATCTACCCCATATATTGCGAACGCCTTACCATATTCATGAAGTAAAACACTTGCAGGACGGAGCCAGAAGTATCCACACTGCTGCAAGATACGGCCACGTGGGTATAATCAATACCCTCCTACAAAAAGGGGAAAAGGTTGATGTAACGACTAATGTAAGATACTCATTAGAGGCCATTCCAAGGATTAAATATGATTATTTCAGGATAATTATACGGCCTTGCATATCGCTGTTGAGTCCTGTAAACCTGCCGTGGTCGAGACGCTTCTGGGTTACGGAGCGGATGTCCACGTCAGAGGTAAATGATCCAATATTTTTGAAGATATGAATAGAAAGCGATCGTTTGGGAAATAGTTTCCTGGAGATTTTTTCAATAAAATCAACAAATATGATCATATTTTCACGGCGTAAAGTTCGCTGAGTGAATCGACCATAAATCAAGATGCCATTGTTGTGTATGACCGTAATACTTACCGAACGTCACGTTGACAGTTTATCCCTTCGTATTTCTTTGGTTTGAATATTTACTTCAATTTACTTTTACTTACACTTAGGTGGAAAGCTGAAAGAAACAGCCCTTCACATCGCAGCTAGGGTGAAAGATGGAGAAAAATGTGCACTTATGCTCCTTAAATCCGGAGCTGGACCTAATCTAGCAACCCATGATGGCCAGACCCCGGTACACGTAGCTGCTAGATATGGCAACCTTCAGACGTTGCTGTTACTACTTGAAGATGGTGGCGATCCTCAATTCAAAAACAAAGTAAGTTTCTTCTACTAAAAGATTATGGAAACGAATTATTAAACAAATGAAAATGAATACTAATCGTTTTTAGAAAGGAGAGACTGCCCTGCATTTGGCCAGTAGAGGCTGCAGACCTGACGTAGTGAAGCACCTGATCAGTTACATAAAAGAGCACAAAGGAGAAGCCAGAGCAGCAGCCTACGTCAACGAAGTCAATGAAAGCGACGAAAGTGCCTTACACTACGTCTGTACCGTAACAAAAGATGAAGTGGAAACTGCAAACTCAGACAGAGAAGTGGTGAAACTCCTCTTAGAAAATGGAGCAGATGTAAAGCTTCTTGCCAAACACCATGAGTCTGCTTTTCACTACGTTGCGCTTGCTGGAAATAACGACGTCCTCATGGAGATGATAACCCATATGTCTCCAACTGATTCCCAGAAGGCACTTAACCGGCAGAACGATAACGGATGGACTCCTTTGCTTATTGCTTCACATAAAGGTTGGTATTACTACTTCTCGATAGTATTCACGTTTATATTTTTACAGGTCACTTGGATTTGGTAAACAACTTGCTGGCAAATCACGCTAGAGTCGACGTATTCGACAACGAAGGCCGTTCAGCTCTGCATCTAGCAGCAGAACAAGGCTATCTCAACGTATGCGACTCGCTTCTTTCCAATAAAGCCTTCATTAACTCTAAGTCTAGGAATGGCCGCACTGCCCTCCACTTAGCTGCTATGAACGGTTACATCCACTTGGTGAAGTTTCTAATAAAAGATCACAATGCTGTCATAGATATTTTAACGTTAAAGAAACAGACACCTCTACATCTAGCTGCTGGAGCAGGACAGATAGAAGTCTGCAAGCTGTTATTAGAGCTCGGTGCAGACATTGACGCTACGGATGAGAGTGGCCAGAAACCTATCCACGCCGCTTGCCAAAATAACTTTTCCGAAGTTGCCAAATTATTTTTATCACAGCACCCTAGCTTGGTAATGGCCACGACTAAGGATGGGAATACTTGCGCTCATATAGCAGCAGCTCAGGGTAGTGTAACAGTCATAGAGGAGTTGATGAAGTTCGACAGACAAGGCGTGATCTCAGCGAGGAACAAAATAACAGACGCTACTCCCTTGCAAATGGCTGCTGAAGGAGGACACGCTGAAGTGGTGAAAGCTTTGGTTAGAGCAGGGGCTAATGTCACAGACGAAAACAAAGGAGGCTTCACAGCGGTTCATTTGGCCGCTCAGCATGGTCACTTACAGGTTTTGGAAGTTCTAAGGTCTTCCAATACTTTAAGAGTTATCAGCAAGAAGTTGGGTGTAACTCCGCTTCATGTAGCTGCTTATTTCGGGCAAGCGGATACTGTAAGGGAGTTGCTAGCCCATGTGCCTGGTACAGTGAAATCTGAACCCCCAAACGGAGCTTCTTTGGTGCCAGCTTTGGGAAATGAGTCTGGCATGACACCTTTACACTTGGCGTCTTTCTCAGGGAACGAAAACGTAGTTAGATTGTTATTAAATTCGGCTGGAGTTCAAGTCGATGCTGCAACTCATGAAAATGTAAGTCTAATCAATATTTTTTGTTAAGCTCTCACGCCATAAACAATGAAACATTTCCTGACGTAGTTATCAAGACTTGTCCCTATAAATGCCCCGAAATTAATTATTTCATGACCCAAATACGTTATGTATTATTTCCCACTCTTAAAATAGTGTTCCTTACATTCTTAAGGAAAATAACAAAACCATGATTCTGATTTTTTATCCGCAAAGTAACCAAATTATCACAAACCCTCGATTATTATTTTTTTTTTAATGCTAACTTGTGACCTTCAATGGATAAAAATGGAAAATACCCTCTGCAAACATGCTAAATAACCATTATTCAGATTTGACCGTACAATAATCACTGACCTTTGATGGGATCTGTGTTTATAATCTCGGAAAATCGATATTTAAGTATATATTTTTAGTATCTAAGATTTTCTTGATTTGTGACCACAGAATTTGTTAACTAATTGTATAGTGGGAAACAACTACGTCACTAATAAGAATGTTTATTTCATACTTCATGGTATCTATAGATTAGTAGGTCGCTGCCAAGCAAAGCTTTGTGTCAGTAGGCAAATAAAATATGACGTACTTTGTATGTTAAATCTCATCCATGTCACAATATACAGGGTGTTAGTGCGACAAATTTCAGGGGGTGATTCTACATGAGAAAATAATGGCAGTTTGCTTATAAACGTATGTCCGCAAATGATTCGTTTTCCGAGATACGGGGTGTCAAAGTNAAAAATCGAAAAATTTATTTTTTCATTCACGTAATTTTACTGGTGCCTGATCTTGTCGAAAATGATAAATTATGAATTGAAAGATCATAGATAATAAGTTCGTCTATAATTTTCTTCATTTTATTTTCGTATTCTTCTCAGCAAATCCTTTCATTTGATACTCATATCATGGGGTGCACAAAAAATAACTGGTCCGCCATCTTTGAGAGTCCGCCATATTGGATTTAAAATGACGTCACTTAGCTAACCATGCAATGTCATCCAAACTAAACGTGTATGCAAAATTTCAGCTCAATCGGTTGGGCAAACTGTTTCAAAATTCAGTTGCAAAATGTGACCCATACTAACAAGGCAAGTTAAATAAAAGCTTGTAAAAATATGATAAATGGCACACAAAAAAGGTGCATGTTCATAAAAAAAACAATTTGAATTAGAAACGCTCGTTTGGAACGCGAAGAGACACTAAAACGCTAGCTATTGTATAACGAAGGCCTCTTACAATAGTAAATCGACCGTACATGGAGGCACAAAAAATGATTCAGAACCCCAATCCGGAAAAATCCGGTGGTTTTCTCTTTTGATATATGAAATTGACACTCCTGTCCGCATTTTCCAACTTTCAATAGTGCAGGATCTCTTGGGATCACAACTATTCCGATAATTTACGATTGGTGTGATTTGAAATCGATGGAAATTGCAAGACGTTTTTGTTAAAACAATAAAAACATGCAACTTTCGAAAAATGAGGTTCTAAATGAGCAAAAGTATTCTACTTAACTCCAGGAACACCCTCTCTATTGCACACAACGATTCGTACTCTAGTAAAAATTTGCACGTATTTTCAATTCACCGCTTTTCGATGGGTCAGTGGCAAGTGAAATATGCTAATCTGTCGCAGCATACTTCCAATAGTTGCTGTGTTCTATACACATGGGCCAGCTCTCTGTCACTTTAAAGAACTACGCAATGACTCCTTCTCTAGCATATTCTGAAATATTAACGTAAACCAACGACTTTGAAATTTCGACTTTTGTCCAGCTTTTTCGGAATTCCGACCACTGTGCGTCGCCCCGAATTTTTTATACGTACTTTCCGGACAAACCTCGTATATTTGGTCTGTATCTCGCCAAAAGGGCCTTAATTTTTTTTAATGTTCTGCCAACATCTGTGTTTCAGGCAATTTTTTCTAAAACACTCTGTATAAATACAATCTGCCTTAAGATTTTGAAAATAACTAAACGGTGATGTGTACACAATACTACCCGCATATCTTGATTAATCACATGCTATACTAAACAATGCAGACTCCAACTAATTTAATAACTTCATGCGGTACATATCAACATAACAAACTCCAAAATTACACAGACCAAGAAAACAACCCAAAATAAAATGTTAATTTTTCGGTAGATGATGAAAGTGTTGGTAGTCGAAATAAAGATATAAACCTGAGTGGTGTCTTAATAAGTATATTCCTAGTTGAAAATTATGTAACTTATGAAGACCAATTGGAAAAAGTTGGTAAAGCATCCCCAATTGGCACCGGTTACTATTTGCTGAGATTTTCACTTAATTTCAGAGGGGGAAGATTCCTCTGCTCCTGGCAGTAGAGGCGGGCAACCAGTCTATGTGCAGGGAGCTGCTAAGTGCACAAACGGCGGAACAGTTGAAAGCACAATCCGCAAATGGCGACACGGCTCTGCATCTGGCGGTCAGAAGGAAGGACATCGATATGGTAAATTTGAATCAACTATCTTTTGATGTTTCTAAAAGCACTTAAGAAGGAAGTTATCACTTTTTTACTCCATTAATTATTTTTATGAGCAACTTTCTTGATTTTGCAATATTCAATTCCAAGGAAATCAGTTTCATTAAAGATTCTGTGTAAAAGTGATCATTTATACAGGGTGTTTCAGGATTAAGTCGACAAACTTTAAGGAGATATTCCTCCTAAAAAAATAAGAAAAAAATCAAGTATAATTTTTTTTCCAGAGACGCTTCATTTTTGGAAATATAGGTCGTTAAAGATTTAAAAAAAAATCGAATTTTTTAAATAACTTCTAAATGAAGAAGGCTATTTAAGCCAAATTTGGCATGACACATCTTATTATAAGATACCATTTTTCCATAAAAGTAGAAGTCCCGCAAGCAACCAGTGGCGAAGTTATGGGGACTCATTAAATTATAAAAAAAAATAATACGGGCCTACTGAAAATAAAAAATGATGCTGTTTTTAGATAGAACAGTTTGTTATTGACAAAAAGTGTACATTCACTTTTTTTCCTAACTCTTAAGTTTCATGGCAAAATTGATTTTTCGAAAGGGTGCTTCTGGATTCTGTCAATAAACTTTAAAATGAACCTCAACAAAAATTTTCAAGTAGGCTGCTGTCAAGCAATGTTAATTTGACGTTTTAAATGTTATTTTGCGAATTGTTGCATAAATTATCCATTAGATAAAGCGTTCAAACTAATAATAAAAATAAGTTTAATAATGCCGTCCATATTTTCGAACAATGAATATGCTGATATGGTCTTTGTATATGGTTTTTGTGATGGAAATGCCA